TTATTTTCAATAAAATAAACTCACGCACACATATTAAAATGTGAAATATCATGAGCTTTAAATTTATTTTCAATAAAATAAGTTCGTACGTACATATTAAAATGTGAAATAATCATGAGCTTTAAATTTATTTTTAATAAAATCTAGGGGATAGTTAATTTAATGGGGGGCTAACACAGAGTTACACAATTGTAAATGAGATGAAATTCAACAAATCCATTACACAAATAATTTTTACTATATAAAAATATTTTTTTTCGTGAAAGAACCTTGTACATTTATTTTTAAGTAACTGATCTCAAAAGACAAGGTCCTTCATGCTGATGCTGTAAGAGAGAAGTGTTATGACTTGAATTGAGCAACAATTGGTTACGTTATTTATTTTTTATTACAAAAATTATTAAATTGAAATTAACTTCAAATCATTTATTAAATTTTATAAAAATAATTTTATTTTTACATAAAAATTTGTTCCTTCATTAAAGCTTCCTCAGAAAAAGATGTACCTTTTTTTAAATGTTCTAAAATTAAAGGTATTAAGTTCTTTTTTCGTTTATTTCTTGAATTATCTCCAAATGCCCAAAGCAACCATTGTAATTCACTCACTAAAAATATTTTAGAGAATTCTTCCTCAGCACTCTCCAGGTGTGCCCATATTTGAAGCTGGTTTAATCCAAATGTAGGTTCTTTTGGAATATTAGATTTTTTTATTGATGATAGATTATTTTCAATTTTTTTAGTATCTTTTTTCATGGCTTTAAGATTCTCACGAAGACTTGATGTTCCCTTTTCAGGAATAAGCTCATTGAATCTTCTCCAAGACTTTTGTCTGCTCCTCATATAGATAGAAATAATTTGCTTATAGATAAATTTCTTAGTTTCTTCTGTTATTTCATATTTTTCAATATTTGTAGGATCATGTGTATTAAGTATTTGACTTGAAATGTCAAAGATTGTAATAAAAGTTTCCAGTAATAATAAATTATTTAATAAACTATTATGTATATATAAAAGAATATTGGGACCAAGTTCTTCATGTTTTTCAAATAATAATAGTACTAGTGATTCCAATTTATACATAAAATTCAAGAAATCTTGACCAGGTATCACATTTGTTATCTGTGATCGTACATCTCGTTCATATACAATTTGTTCCGAGCTAAGAACCTTAAAATGAGTGCATATAGCTTCGAATTTAGGATGTGATTTCATCATATAATCACTTTTGATTAGCTTGTAAATGATCCATCCAACAATATAGGAGAATTTTGATGCTTCGGCTGATTCTAAAATAATTATTTTATTTGGAATTAAATTGGGATCCGCAGAATGATAATTGTTTAAATTATTTTGCATTGTATTTTTGCTAAATGTTAGCTTGATTACTTTTTGCAAAAGCAAGAATGCAACAAGTCTTTGGCTTGATGAACCATTTAAATTAATTGTTGTAAGAAAATCTTGATACCAAATTCCTGAGCATTGATAATTGTTTATGTTGATTTCAAGTTGAGAACTCCAATTTGTTAACCACTGGACTCCTATTCTTTTTGGAATTGCTTCACAGGCCATTTTTGTGATTATATCTTTCCATTTTCTCAGTAATTCATCAATAGAATTATGGTAAATAATATCTTCTATAAGATCATGCCGTTCTTTTTGAAGTTGCGAAACTTTAAAATTTTCGTGATTAATATTTTCATTATATAATTCTAATGAAATACCTATTTTCCCCATAATTAAATTATCAGATAGAAGATCATCAAAGATTTTATAAGAGAAAGGTGATAATTGTGCCAATCTAATATGATGTTTTTGATAAAAACAACTATTTTCTTTTTCATCTAAAAATTTTCTTTTATTGTCTCGATAGTCTCTAATATAAATAAATAATTATTTTAACAATTATTAATAAAAAAACAATTTTTCACTAAATAGGATTAATAGCTCCTTGTATAATAATTAATTATATAGCCGCGACACAATTAAATTAATTATATGGCATCACAATTAAATTAATTATTAGCCGCGACACAATTAAATTAATTATATAGCCGCGACACAATTAAATTAATTATATAGCCGCGACACAATTAAATTAATTATATAGCCGCGACACAATTAAATCAATTATATAGCCGCATCACAATTAAATTAATTATATAGCCGCGACACAATTAAATCAATTATACAGTTAAATTAATTATATTATATGTAAAAAAACATTTTCATGAATAAAATAATAATAAATTTTTTAAATACCTTCTTGCTAAAGTAGAAACTCCACTTCCAATACAATTTGCACTTCCATAATTAACACTTTTTACCTCTGCTGAAAATAATGATGTTATTTGATATTTGTTTAAAGAATGCCCATACGATTTAAGTGTGTGTGTAGAAGAATCTCCACCAAGTTCACGGATTGTACCAAAAAGTCCCTCAAGCATATCTTGAGAAATGCGCTTAGGTTGAATTATAGATCCCGGATATTTTTTTAATAAAAATTCTAGCATTCCAATAAAACCATTGATAGACAAAATTAAATCAAATTGGCATTGTGCTGAGATCCATGCCTTCGATCCTGATTTTTGTTTATCACCACATATAAACCAATCTCGAATTTCTTTTAAAGTGTAAAGACGTTCATCATTTAAAGACTGAAAATTAATCTTACTATGCATTATTTGCCTATATTTTCGTGAATATTTAATGAAATCCTTAAAAAAAAAGTATTTTAAAATTAAAATTAATTTTTTTGATTTAAAAAAATATTTTACAATAAACATACTCTTGTTCCTTCAGAAATTTCCTTCAATTCTTCAATGGATGCTAATGCATCTTCTACTTCTTTTGATAAAGTATGTTCTGCTAAATCAACACGCATTTTACTCCATGATGTAAGCCATATATGACGTTTGGTAAGTTTTGTTGCTTTTGCTGTTGCATGTTTACTTGTGTGATCATACACCCCTTTTATATGTTTCCAACTAATTTCTTTTCCATTAAACATTATTTCTCGTGTATTTTTTTCAGCAGTATGACTTTTTGATAAATTATTTCTAAGTTTTTTAAATACATGTGTAGGGTCACTAATAAAAAACCAATCCTCTCCAGTGATTGGATTTATTGTTTTATGACATGTTGAAATTTCTTGATTATTGTAAATGGGTCGAAGGAAATTATTACTGCATTGACTAAAGACTTTCCATCTTTCTATAATTCCAGGAATTTCTACAATTAGATCAAGTGAATTACTATCAACAATCTTTCCTAAATACCATTGGTTATCTTTTGGATTTTTAAACTCACACAAATCATTTATCTTCCATTCCAATTTTGGTAACATTGGTTGACGAATAAATATTCGTTCAATGTTAATTATCTCATTATTTTCAAGTGACATTACAGTAAATCTTGTTTTTTTAAAATTACTATCTATAATTTTTGCTACATGAAAAGATTTTTTATCTTTATTAAAATTAACTTCTACAATATCACCATTTGTCCATTTTGATGCATACCAATCAAAACTTTTTATATGAACTCGGTTTTCCCCTGCTCCATCACATAATGAACCCAATGTGTGTACTCCTATACACTCTAATTTTGCAGCTAACTCAAAAATTAAAGTATTTAAATTATGTGGTGTTATGTTATTAATTCCATAATAAGATATTGGAAATGAAAAGTTATGTGTTATCGAGTGCCAAATAAATTGATGTACTTGTGTTGCAAGGTTGTACTTTTGTTGATTAGTTGAAATATAATTAAGTTTAGAATTATTTTCTATTGTTACTGATTCTATTTCATGTTTACATTGTAATGCAAATTCTTGATATTCATCCATTTCATTTTCAAAATCCAAATAACCAACATAACAATTTTTACGTTGGTTCCATAATAATCCTTTTAAATTAAAATAATAATAATAATAATAAATTTTAAATAAAATAAGTTAAAAAAATAAATAAAATAAAAAATAAATAATTGATAAATTTTTACCTTTTTGAATTTTAAAGGAATCATGTGAAAAAAAACCTATCCTTCCATATCCCCAAATATTATTTATTGATAAATTAGATAATAATTGAGATGCAGTTTTATCCTGCCATCCTGAATTTTGTTCACTTTCATTTATATAATTTTTAAGTGTTGAAATTGAAGGTAAACGCATTATCATTTTCATGGTATCATAAGCTGCATGACCTGATTTGCAGTATATAGATATGGCCCATCTTATAAACCTATAAAAATAAATTATTAAATTAATAATATTTTTATTAAAAACTCATTACCAAAAAACTTACATTGGATGATATTTTGTTCCTTTGGATTTTCCAGTTTGAGCACGAACAAGTTCTTGAAAAATAGGATGATAATTTGAAATATCTATATTTTTATTCTCTACTTTTTTAGAAACAGTATAAACAACATTGGCAATTTCATTTGAAACTTCGTTTTCTTCATTTCTGATTTTTTTATCTAAATAATCTTTTAAATTGGAAATTAACTCATTTTGTTTTTTAATAATTCTTTGTTGTATGTTAATTTTTTCTATTAAAATTTCTTTTGAAGCATGTATAGTTTTTTTAGAAGTAACTCCTAATAAACTTCTTCGTTGAATTTGTTCTATTACTTTTTTTAATTTTGAACAATTTTCACATATAAAATTTTCCTTAACTATTAATGTACAGTCTATTCTTCTATATATTTCATTAGACAATCCTATATTTTCCATTAATGCAAAAGGTGTATGATCTTTTTTATTACTAACAAGTTGATTACCACGAATTTTTGTTACATCTTCAAAACCTAAAAATAAATTTATTTAATAATAATATTTTTAAATAATAAATAATTAAATAAATTATCAAAAATTACCATTTGTACTTTGTCCACAACATATATTAACAGAAAAAACATAATTAATAATTTTAATTATATCATCGAGAGTTCTTTTTATTGCTTTAGTTGAAAACGGAAGATAAATTTCTTTTACTATTTTATTAAATATATAAATCTCATAACTATGCAATCCACTTTTAGAAAATATTCTTAATATTTTTGTTGATAATTGTTTTTTTATTGGAAAACAGAATTCGAGCCCATCATTAATTTCTTGTATTGTTATTCCAGAAAACTCTTTTCCAGGTAAAACTTTTTCTTGAATAGCTTGAAAAATATCTGAATTATATACTAAATTTGTTTTTTTCCAATATAATTTATAATCAGGTTCACGTAAAATAGATGCAATCGGTGGACTTGTGGGGTTTGGTTCCAAAAAAATTGTAGCAATAGCTGATTTATTTCCTTTAAAAAATCCTCGATTTTTTAAAGAATTAATCCATTGTGAAAAGGTTTCAAAATTTTGTTCTTTTTTCATACAATATATTTGTGATCTTTTTTCTTTAGTATTATATGTAAGAATGCCCTCAAAATACTTATTTAAAGTTGGAAAAAAATAAACTTTTTTTCCTTTAAGATCAGGTCGAATTTTTAGTAGTTCTTGTAAAGCTTCCTCTTTTTTTTGTTTCTTTGATAGTGGCAAAGAAATATTATTTTCCTAAATATTTTTATTGATATTTTTTAAAAAATTATAATATTATTAGTAAAAATTCAAAAAAAAAGATTTTTTTCTTTACCATTTTAAACGTGAAATATAAGTTTTTTATAATTTTAGGATATTAAAATAGCTGATCCAACTTTTTGCAAGAACGAAATATAAAACAAGTCTGAAAATCATATATTCATATTTTTGAAGATCATATTATTTATGCAAAATCATTATTAACGCGTAGCACATTAAAAAATATTTTTAAATATTTATTTAAAATCGGGTAAAAATTTCTTCTACATAGTAGTACATAGTAAATTATATATAATTTCAGTTTTAGCGATAATCACTATTTTAAATTTATATTGTGTAACTTTGTGTTAGCCCCCCCATTAAATTAACTATCCCCTAGACAGAATGTTACATTTTTCGTGATATTTTGTACAATAAAAATTTTGAAAATTTACAAAAAGCTTTTTGTAATATTCCATAAAAATTAACGAAATCTTTTGATGTAAAAAATTTTGAAGATTTACGAAAATTTATGAAAATTTATGCAAAAATTTATAGAAATTTTACATCTCATAAACTTACGGAATTATTTGTCCTTAAAAATTTCCTGATGAATAAAATTAATAATAAATTATATAAAAATTCAGAAAGTAATAAAATATTACAAAATGAAATTTTCTATAATATAGATTGAATTACAATGAAAATAATTAAATTTGAAGTAATTTGAAAATAATAAACTTGAAACAAAATATATTAAAATATTAGTTGTTGAATTTTGAAAGTTTACGTTATTGTTAAAAAATTTAATATTGAACTTCAAAAGTTTTTAATAACAAAATAATACATATCAAATTTTAACTGTTAAATTTCAATTTTGAAGGGTTATGACACAATCGATAACCTTCGAAATCTAACGTTATAATATAATTTTGAAAGTTTTCAAATTAATATAATTACTGATGATATTCAATAAAAATAATGAAAAGAGTAAATAATTTTGAGCAAGTGGTGAGAAAGGGATAAAATAATATTATGATAGGGTAGAGATAAATTTTCTACATTACTTTGTTCAAGAATATTGATAGTTTACTAGTGAAGTTGTCCTTTTATTCTTTAAATTAGTTATTTTTTTCTTAGAATTAGTGATGTGATACAGTAACAGTAATTTAGAAATACAAAAATAAAAACAAATAAAGGTGATAAAAAGGTTTTTTACAGTTTAAGAATAGTGATAAAGATAGTAAATAATATTAGAGATAGTAAGGTAAAGGTTAAATTTTTCTTTTTACAAAGGTTAAAGAATAAAATAGGTAGATTGTGCAATTTCAAATTTCCTAAAATAAATAGATAAAACAAGAAAAATATTGAAATAAAGTAAAAAAAATAGTAGAGAAAATAAAATAAATTTTTTTAATAATTTTGTTTGTTATTTATATATCACTGAATATATTTTATGATATGATAATAAAAGCTATGATAATAAATTATTAAAATAAGACATGATAATTAAATATCTAATCAAAAGTTAACTACTATATAAACTTGTAAACCACTATATAGATTTGCAAGTCATTATATAAGCTTACAAACTATTATAAGCTTGCAAGTCACTATAAACTCATGAGCCACTATATAAGCTCATAAGCTGTTCGAACTTTAAGAACTAAGTCTTAGTTAAGCTTGGTTTATGAATTTTTAGCTCATAAGCTTATAAGCCTATAATACTAGACTTGATTCAGTTTGACTTGATTCAGCTCGTTAAGCTTATGAACTTTAATACTTATTTAGAATTTTATAGAAGATGCAAAAGAATTTTCATAAAATAGTATATGTGAAGTAATGTTTAAGTATTCACCTGTATCTTCAAGAAGAGTTATTTTTTTTATAGAGTTTATTGCATTTAAATAAAGAGTCTCACTTTCTTAGAAGAGAGTTATATTATTAATATTTACTATAGTTTAAGTTATTCTTAATTCTTTGTTTTTTTTTGAATTTGATAAAATAGCTAAACAATCATGATATATTTTTATTATTATATGTAGGGATGGAAGATGTAATAGGAATTGAGCCAGGAATTTAGCTAGATTTAGCTAATTGAGTTCAGGAATTAGCCTTGGCGCAATTGGGCACAATGGCTAAATTCTGATGCAAAGGCTAAATACTGATGCAATTCTGATTAACTGGTATAAAGGCTAAATGCTAGTGCAATTTTAATTGGTTAGTATAAAGTTTAAATATTGATGTAATTTTGATTGGCTGATATAAAGATTAAATTTTAGTGTAATTTTGATTTGTTAGTATAAAGGTTAAATGTTAATGTAATTTTGATTAATAATATAATTGTAAAATTTATTGAATAATTATTTTTATTTATATGTAATTTTAAATTGATTTTTATTATAAGGAATGATTTTTATTATTATAGTGAAATTTTAATAGTTATGTTGATTTAAAATTTAGTTGGTACAATTAAATTGAATTTAAATTTAGCTGGTGCAATTAATTTGAACTGAAATTTAGCTGGCATAATTAATTGAACCAGAATTTAGCCAGAACGAAATCATTTAGCCAGGGCACAATTAATTGAGTCAGTTTGGTATTAATTGAGTTGATCATCTCTAATTATATGTAATATTTTTATTATCAAATTTAATTTTTTTTTTTTTTGTTTTAACAAGGTCTTGTCTCAAATTTATTAATTAGAAAAAGAGAAAGTTTTTTACATTACATAGAATTAAATAATACAAAATATACAACTTATTTTAATGTTTATTTAAAAAGATAAGACTCAGACTAACTCATAAGAGACAGGCCCACAACCTATTGCTGTTGTCAAATTTAATTAGTATTACTTCTTTTTGATATGTTAGTATATTTTTTCTGAAGTCATTATTTTCTTTTGGGATATAAATAGTAAAAAGAAATAAAATAAAAAATTCTTTTAGTTTAGGAAAGGTAGTATTTTTCAAGAAAATAGTATATTTCATAACTTATTAATTTTAGAATTTTTTACAAAGTGTATTACTAAAGCTTGTGATATAGTAATATTACTACTAGAAGATTATATTTTCAAAAAGGTATTTTCATTTTCTGTTAATATAGGAGTTTTTTAAAATTTTAATTTTTTTAGTTTTTTGACAATTTTTAAAAAAATTTTTTTTTTGATATTTACTTATTAAAATAAAAAATTTTATATATAGTAACAATCAATAACTTTATATATAATTACATTATGATATAATTATAACAAAAATTTATTATTTAAAAAAAAAAGTGAAAAAAAGTTATACCGATTTTTAAATTAAAATAATTTCAGAACTAACATAATTTCAAATATAATTGTATATATTGGTTTCAAATTTAATTTTTTTTTTATTAAATATTTAAAGATTAAAATTAAATAAAAATTATAAAAGTTTTAATAGAAATAAAAATTTGCATGAATTTAACTTTTTAAAAAAAATTTAGTTTAACTACTTTTCCTTCCGATTACCACTTCTATGAAAAATAGATTTTTATATAGTTTTTTATCATGTAAATAATTGTAAACACTTTGTGTAAATAATTATTCAAAAAATAAACAAAAATAATTATTTATTATTATTATAATTTGATCACATATATCTATTATTAAATATAGATTTATAATAACTGTTTTGATAAAAAAGATCAAAAAAAAAGATTTTACTTATTAGATTAAATATTAAGATAGATATTTTAATAAATTGAAGTAACTTAAAATAACCTAGAGTAACCTAGAACAAAAATTATATATTAACACTAGTTAAAAACTTAAAAATCTTATATATATCGAATACCAGATAAGTATAATATTTGTCTTAATATCAGATATATATTGAATATTCAATAAGTATAAAAAATATATTTTATATATATCTGATATCTGATAAGTATAAAAATATTTTTTATACCTATTGGATATCTGATATATATCCAATATTAAGAATAAATATTACACTTATTTGATATCTAATATGTATAAGATTTTTAAGTTTTTGACTAGTGTAATTTAAGTTATAATAAATAATTTGATCCAGGTTAGTATAAAAAATTAGAAATTTTAATTTGCTCTGTAATGGAATAATATATATTTAAGTTAATACCAGAACATTATGCTCTAGTTAACAACCTTACCTTTTATCATAAGATGAACCAAAGATATAAGTCTTGTAAACGATAAAGAAGTATTAGTTATAAGTTAGACAAAAGATATAAATTTTATATACTAAATAAGAAGAGAATGTGTTGGGAAATAAACTTTAAAACAAATTAAAAGATGAAGATAAACTTATATAATGAGTTAATATCTCTTACTAAAAGAAAAGCAAAGTTCAATTGGTCATGTTGCATCAATAAATAATTTGTTCATTTTAATTAAAAACAAACTGATACCTTTTATTATTAAAAAAGCATATCAAATAGCTGTGTGTCTTAGGACATAATATATTAAACTCCTTAAAAAAACTAATGTAAAGAATGAGAAAATCAAGTAGATTTCTACTTTTAACAATATGAATATATTTTTATTGACTAGAATTATATTATATAATACTTACATAAATTAAGAAAATTGAGAAAAATTTTTTTTCCATAAATAGATTTTTTTAAATGTATATATTCAAATACTATAATATAAAAGAAATCCAAGTATTGAATTTAATTTTATTTAAAATTTTCTAAATTTTTATTATAGAGATTTCACACTGTATTAAAATTTAATTTATAAAATTTGTTTTTATAAGTTTACAATTTCATTTATAATTTTAACTTGGAACTATTCTATAGGTCAAATACAAAATATATACTGTATTAAAAAAAATTATAATTTTTATTAATTTATAATATAGGATATAATAGGATAGTCAATTGTTTATTAATTTTTAGCTAATCTATAGTATAGGAATTATCATTCAGTACAGCAATTCTTTTATATTTGACTAGTATTCATTCTTAAATTAGAAAAAATAGTTTAAAAATTTAATATCATAAACATGTATATATGATCTTATATTTTTTGATAGTAGTATTTTGATAATACAAAAGTTAGATCAGTTGAATAACATAAAATTTTGACTTTTTTTAAAACACGCACAGTGGCTAATAATTGTATCAACTTACTATGTAAAATGAAAATTTTATTTAATTCAACTTCAATTTTTTTTATAAATAGAATTTTTAAATAAATATTATAAAAAAAATCTAATTATTTAATTAATTGTAAAAAAATAATTTTCTTTTAATAAAGGTTGCACTTATATTATTTTAATACAATTTTATAAGTATGAAATTTTGAAATTAAGATTTTGTTATTATTAAATATTATAAAATAATCTTTGCAATAAGTTGTTACAAGGGTTTAATATTTAAAGAACAATAATTCAATAAATATCAAGTTCTTAAAAATTTTGTTAATAACATTTTAACAGATACAATTATTAAAATTTTTTTTCAATCAATTTAGCATATTCTCAAAATTTGATAAGTGTAATTAAATACTTGTAACTTTAACCTCAGTAAAACTTGATTAAATCAAAATTTAAACAATAATTCTATTGATTCTATAGTTAAAATTTCATTTATATATTTAGTAAATAAACAATTTTTACTATAACCAAGTTCTTATTATAAAGATTCTGGACTGTATTTCTTTTCTAAAGCTCAATATAGTTATTTGTTCTTTTGTTATTTTTAATTCAATTTAGCAATAAAGTTAGTAATCTGCATATATACTTTATTTATGTAAGAGATCATTGGTCAATTTTCCAATCAGTGATTTAAAGATTTATCACTTTAAACCCTGTAATGATCATATAATCACATATAATCACATATAATCACTTCGTTAATTCAACAATGCGATTTTACTTTAGATATGTCAATCCAATTTTACGCACTGTTAGCACTGCACTTAGAGTAATTTGTGCTGTACATATTACAAATGAATATTTTATAGAAATTACGCAGGTACAAAACGAAATATTATTATTGTATATATTCTTCAAGGTTGGATTATTAAAATATAATTATAAAAATATTTTTTTTGAATAAAGTGTATGGGACCTTCAATGTTGCCAACTTTTAATGTGGTTGGAGATTTTGTAGCATTAGAACATTTTAGCCCTCGTTTACGACGTTTAGAAATCGGGGATGTAATAGTATGTAAATCTCCTACAAATCCTTGGAGATCTGTATGCAAAAGAATAGTAGGAATGGTAAAATTTATGCTTTCGAAATAGTTATATTTTTTTTTATCAGTTGAAAGCCAATAAATTAATTTTTTAGCCAGGAGATCGAATATGTATAGACCCCACCGTCATTCATCGAAAATTTATCACTGTAAGCAACTATTATATATATATATATATAATAATCACTATCTATATTATTCATCATTCTTTCATTCATTAATTAATTGATTAATCAGGTGCCGCCCGGTCACGTTTGGATACAGGGAGATAATATGAGCAATTCTACAGATTCCAGAAGTTATGGACCCATTCCTTATGCTTTGATTGGAGGAAAAGTATTTGCTAGAGTAAATCTAAGATTCTTATTATTTGCACATATAATCGTATTACTTTTCTCTAATGATTTTGTTTGTGATTTTTCCTCCAGGTTTGGCCAAATCCGTGTTGGATTAAGAATGGTCTAATTACTCTCGAGGAAAATTAGAAAGTTAACTGGTTGTATCTTGATAATATTCAGACTTTGGACCTCCACAGTTCATATGTTGACAATGAATTTTATATAATCTAATAAAATAAATCTTTGCAAGTCCAAAAATGCGAGGAAAAAAAAAGGGATTTAAACAATTAAAAAAAAAAAAAAAACAAAAAAAAAAACAAAAATGGTGCCTATCTACAAAGTGTTATTAATGAGCACAGAGGTACAACAGAAAGATTCAATTTAGAATCCTTGTATTCACAAAATCTGACATGTGTTGAGGTATAAAAAAAAGTCATGCCGTCATTTTCTTTAAATATTCTTCACATACAGTTGACATATGAAATGCAAAATAAATTAAAATCATGGTGTCTTCATTTTCCCTTTATGATCTGCAGCACTTGGAGTTCCCCATCTATTCAATTGTGCGACAAATCAACATTAGTATCAAAGAAAAAAAATAATAATAATAAAAATAAAAATAGAGAGAGATATATATTTATATTTAAAAATTCCAGTATCTTACATCCGAATAGTATGATCATCACCAGCAGATGCAAACATATAAGGATTCGTAGGATTCCAATTTACGCTATTGACTGCTCCTTTATGACCTGACAATGTTTCAATCATTGCCGCGTGTTCACGATGCCACACGTAAATTTTGGAGTCTAAAAAGTACAGAAGTGAATATTATTCTTGTCAATAAAAAAAAAAAAATAAAAAAATATCAAATTCTTAGAATTCTTAGATGTACAAACCTTCACTACCACTAACAATAAATCCTTGATCTATACCACCAAAGCAAGATCTAATGACAAATTTTCCTTGTTTTTGGCCATAATATTTGCGTACTATTCGCATTTTTTCAATATCCCATAAGTGAATTTCCTAAATTTTATAAAAAATATCATTTTAATAAATAATATTTTTAATAATTAATAATAATTTTTTTAATTTTAATAATATTTTTAATAATAAATACCTTCGTAGAAAGATTCACCAAAGCATACTTGCAATCATTAGATAAACAAATGGAAGTAAGCTTGGCGTTTTCATCCAATGTACTGAATAGGAGGAGATAGAAGATGAAATATAAAATCAGTATGAACAGTACGAATGTATAATTAAAAAATGTTAGAAGTTAATACTACATACGCTTCTTCTTTTTTTGTTTCAAGATTATATATATGTAACCTTCCGTCATGACAAATTGCCACCATTTTAGTTCCGTCTTTATTAATGGCTAAATCCATTATTCGAGCACCATTCCATTTATGTACAATTGTTCCATCCAAGTTCTACTTGAAAAATAAATATATCAATATCATTTCATTAAATAATATTTACATTAAAAAAAAATTTACCCATAAGTAAGTATTTTTGTCTTGACTTCCTGATATAAAACTTTTTCCATCCGGAAGCCACGCGCAGGTGGTTACCGGATCACCATGTTTACTCAAAGTGGTCAAACATTTACCGGACTAAATTGAGATAATTGAGGTAATTCTAATTAAGTATTTTTTTTTAAAAAAATTTAAACGCGAAATAATAATAAGCACCTCTACACTCCAAAGTCTTATTTCGTTGTCTTGCCCACATGTTAAAATTTTGGTATCATCTGGTGACCAAGACAAAAAAGAGACACAATCTGAATGGTCCTTGAGAATATGTACTGATTTTTTTGTCTGACATTTGAAAATATAAATATAAATCGTTGTAAATCATTGTGAGTAGAATAAAAATGTAAAATATTATACGAATTTTTAAATATCTGTACGTAACTAACCTCGATACTCCATATGATAGCAGTCTTATCCCTAGATGCAGATGCCAGAAATTTTCCATTATTTGAAAAAGCGACATACCAAACTTCATCAGAATGTTGTTTGAATATATGAGTAGTAACCGAAGGAAACTGTGATCTGCTCATAAAATAATATATATAAAATAAATAAATATTTAAAAAATTGAAAAATTTATAAAAAATATTAAAGTAAAAGAAATAATCCAAAAATAGATATATCTATTAAATACCTATCACATTCATGATCAGAATATAAGGAAATGTATTCATCGGTATTATGATATAGGCAAGATATACGTTGTAAAGTGGTGGCTTGTTCCAACAATGTTTCAAGGCGATGTTCGGGAACCATTATAGATGGAGAAATATATTCTTTGAGATAGAATTTATGAGAATTGTAAGCGAATATTATATATATTGTATAATAAATTTATAATTGATTTGAATAATAATCAATCAATTAATCAATTCATACTCTGCAATTCTAACAATAATTTTTGACGCGAAGTTCCATTAGCACCATCCCATTCGGCTTTAAGTTTTAAATCTTCTGCATTAGAGTACATTATGAAGCTATTGATATTATATATATATATATATATTTTAAAAGATTAATATAAATAAAAAATAAAATCAAAAAAAATAAAATCAAAAAAAAAAAAATCAAAAAAAAAAAAAATAAAATCAAAAAAAAAAAAAAATCAAAAAAAAAATAAAATCAAAAAAATAAAATCAACAAAAAAAAATAATAAAATCAAAAAAATTATAACCTAGACAACAAATGGAGTCGCTCAGTGTCGAACGCGAGTGGAGCAAGTTCACTCCTCAATGTATATAAAGCTAATTTGATTTCTCTTCTTTCTAACAATTCTAGATATTTTTGTTGTCGAATCAAAAACTGCACAACCTAATAGATCATTTGAAATGAAATGAAATTAGATTTCGAAAAAAAAAGAAAACTTAAATAATTTTTATTAATAATTCTGAGAAGCATACGACAGAATCTTGACTTTGATCCAATTCCAATGTAGGGAACAGAGATTCCACCAAATCCCAGTCACCTTTTAATACTCCTTCTCTAAATTTGGCAACAGCAGGACTTTCAAGAGGATAACCAGATTCGCTCTCGAGTAGAGCGGCAGATTTACTAATAATAAGATTTTATGAATATTAGAATACTTTATGATCATATTGACTATAAAAAAAAATGAGGGAATTCAATTAGTGGAAAGATGAGCTAACTGATATCCCATATCCTGCATTGCTTGAACCATGAGTCTAACAAGCTCTTGTCGACGATTATTTTTCATTACTGTTAATTTTGAAATTTGACCATTTGTCGCAATTTGGGAATCACCATTACTTGTGGGTGAAACTCCATTCGCACTACTTCCTACACCGTTTTCTTTTTTACTGATCCTCATGTTAAATTCTCCGTTAGTAGAAGATTCCGCAATACGTGGACGTTTTGCCAAACGTAATTCAGAATCAGAATCACTGGGCCGCGAATAGTCGTTATCAGGCTCGTCTCTAGCGTGATAGCCACTAGATTGACTCTGCAGTTCGTCAGTAGGAATAGAAGAACTTGAGTTTGAAGGTGAGGATATATGCGATGACGAAGCGAAATTGTAAGACAAAGAAGCTTGTTCGTCGTCAAAAGAACTGATCAGTGTAGTGTGCGAAGAAGTCTGAGAGACTGCAGCAGAAGCACTTTCTAATAAGTTGTGTAGTGAAAGTTGGTGAGAATCGTTATTGACAGAATTGCCTCTGCTACTAGTCCTTCCAAGTTGCGAGTCGCGTTCCAGGATGGGTAAATGTTAAAGAGGCACACACTCAAGTGCGCCAAAGTTAAAAAATATTTTAGTAAAAAGAAAATTGTTTAGGGAATAAAGTGAGAAAGTATGGTTCTAATTATTAATAACTGAACAAAAAAAAAAAAAAAGCAAGTAGTAGGTCAGTTGACAAAGTGAAACAAAGAGTGGAAGTCACCAAGACGACGACACCAAATGTAGCGACTATGAAAAAATAAATTAGGAAATTTTTATATATGACAAGTTTGTGGGAAACTTCGATAAAGTCCACTAAAATATATAAAGAACTTTTAAGCAAAGCCAGGAAAACCTCAAGATAAAAAAAAAAAAAAAAACTTGAATAGGGAAAGCAAGAATTTGTCGAAATCTTATTAATCCATTTGATTTCGATGACCCCCCTTTGTGATATATACGTCATAAGATTTCGGGCAATATTTTGGTTTAGCGAATATTTGGCGCCTCGAACATTACACATCTGTATAATACTTTTGTTACTTACATTAAAATACAACACGTGATGAACCAAAAAACCTCCGATCAGATGCATATTGATTCCGATATTGCTATCAATTTTATTATTATTATTATTATTATTATTATTATTATTATTATTATTATTATTATCATCATTATAATATTAACTTTCCAAACTTTCCTATCATACTTCTTATATGCTTCTTATATACTTCTTTATATACTATCCTTCTGACAACAATAATAATAATTAAAAAAAATAATAATTAAAATTCGGATTTTTTTTTTTATGAAATCCAGATTATCGTAATTAAAAACTCCGTGAAATGAATTTACAATGATTATAACCAATTGTAATCACAAACTTAAAATAAAAATAAATAAATAAATGAAAGAAATTAAATAAATTAAATAAATAATAAATTTGGAGTCCAGAACGAGAAATGAATGCAGATTGGATCTTGATGTGAAGGAATTCTTTGAAAAATTAGGATGAAAATTTACACGTGACTTAAACCTTTATATGAATCGTCTCAACTATTCTTCCTAGCATTCTCTTCTGCTTTCTTTTGAGCTTTCTTGATACTCATTTCGTTCATTTTCTGAACTACTACTTTCATTTTTTCATGTTTATTAAAACGTTTAAAACAACAATACTCCCTATCAGAAATTAATCAATTAACCTTAAAATTAAGAGAAGAAAAAACCCCCCCCCCAAATTTTTGTAAACGTTTATCACCATGTTCCTATCGATAATAAACAAAATGATCCAATTGCCCAGTTTGTAGCCGAGAGAACATTCCCTAAAATAATTAATGTTCACTAAACTTTTTGTTCAATTCCAAAAAATTCCAAAAAAAAAAACAAAAAGGGATGTCAACGAAGTTCTAGCTAACCTTTGTGAAAGAATCTTAAAAAACCAATTATCGTTCCACCACCAATCCCATTCAAAAAACTCTGACGGGTGCATGGAATTTCTTGAATATTTTTGAAATCATCAAAACTTAATTTCTATTGAGAAATTTGTCATAATTTTTTTTTTTAACAAAAATAAGCTAACAATAAAGATGTCGTTAATATGCGGACCTTTATGATTTTCAAAAAACTATTTTCTTTATTATCAAAAGGTTTAGCACTATCCACGATATCCACATTATCTTCACTATCCATTTCGTAAATTTTTTAAATTTGAAAAAACTTTTACGCGTTTATATTGAATGTGAGTAACACAAGACCGATAGAATTTAAAGATCATCCAATCAATTTACGAAATGATATTGAATGAAATATTTTCAATCTTTACTGATCAAGATTAAAGTGTAAATTAGGAAAATGGTCGAAACCAGTAATAATTTCAGACGTAGTTTTAATGACAAAGAGAAACCAGTCGAAGTTCGTCAGAGTAATATTGTCGCTGCAAAAGGTACAAGTTTTTCACCACTATTTTCATTATAGATCTTAGTAAGGTAGATCTGGTGTATTATAGAAATATGTGTATATACGCGTTTTTTAAGGATCTAATAACTATGTAAAATCATAGTTTTGGATATGACTCGATGTTTGAATAATTTCTTTCTTGGAAGCAATATAATGATTGAACTTATATTTACTTATATTACTTATATTTTTTTTAACGTGATTTAAAAAAAAAAAAAAATCAAAATTTAAAAAGCTGTTGGTGATGCTATACGGACTTCCCTTGGTCCTAAAGGAATGGATAAGATGGTGAGGGTTTTTTTCTTTATTTTATAATGTAAAGAAAAAAATACAATATAAACAATATAAATATATAAATTTTATGATTTTTAGATTCAAACTGCTAACGGAGAAGTTGTGATTACTAATGATGGAGCTACTATTTTAAAACATATGTCCGTTTTACATCCTGCTGCTAAAATGGTGAGAAAAATAGAAAGAGAGTAATTATACGATAAGTTGTGTGAATTAATAGATAGATAAATGATTAAAATTAGTTGTTTTTATTTAGCTAGTGGATTTATCCGCTGCTCAAGATGTAGAAGCAGGAGATGGAACAACTTCCGTTGTAGTTATTGCTGGTGCACTTTTGAGTGCTGCTGAAAAGATGCTCAGCAAAGGTACAAAATATTTAAAATATTTAAAATATTCTTAATTTTTAATTAATTAATAAATAAATTAAATTAAATTAATCAAAAAAAAGGAATACATCCAACGACAATTGCTGAAGCGTTTCAACGAGCGGCTTCCAAATCTACAGAATTTCTTACAGAAATGTCTACCAAAATTGATTTATCTGACAAAGATTCCTTATTGAGAGCTGCAAGCACTTCATTAAATTCTAAGGTAATTAATTAATTTTCTATCCAATATAAATTGAATTTAATGACTAATAATATTTTTTTTTATTATACATAAGATTGTTTCTCAATATTCTAGTCTTTTGGCACCCATTGCTGTAGATGCTGTATTACACGTAATTGATCCATCAACTGCAACTAATGTAGATCTTAAAGATGTTCGTATAGTCAAAAAAGTTGGAGGAACTATTGATGATACTGAACTTGTGGATGGTTTGGTTTTGACACAAAATGTGGTTAAAACTTCTGGTGGTCCTTCTCGTATCGAGAAAGCGAAAATTGGTTTAATTCAATTTCAATTATCTCCACCAAAGCCGGATGTAAGAATTTTTTTATAGATTTTATATATTCATTGTTATATTTGAAACTAATCCGTTCCTATTTCTTATTTCTTCTTATTTCTTCTTATTTCTTCTTATTTCTTCTTATTCCTTCTTATTCCTTCTTATTCCTTCTTATTCCTTCTTATTCCTTCTTATTCCTTCTTATTCCTTCTTATTCCTTTTTATTTCTTCTTATTTCTTCTTATTTCTTCTTATTTCTTCTTATTTCTTCTTATTTCTTCTTATTTCTTCTTTATAGATGGAAAACCAGATAGTTGTAAATGACTACAGACTTATGGACAAGATTTTGAAAGAAGAAAGACAATACATTTTAAATATTTGCAAGAAAATAAAGAAAACGGGATGCAATGTTCTTTTAATTCAAAAATCAATTCTGAGAGACGCTGTTAATGATTTATCTCTTCATTTCTTATCCAAATTGAAAATTTTGGTGATCAAAGATATTGAAAGGGATGAAATAGAATTCATTTGCAAGGTCAGTTAAATCTGGCATTTTACTTTATTTTATTTTGTTCTATTTTATTTATTTTATTTTATTTTATTTTATTTTATCGTATTTTTATTTTTATTTTTATTTTTATATTTTTATTTTTATATTTTTATTTTTATTTTTATATTTTATTTTATATTATTTTTTTTATACAAAAATTTTTATTAATAGAGTACTGGTTGCAAGCCAACTGCCGATATTGATTCATTTACTGAAGATAAACTTGGTTATGCTGAATTAATTGATGAAGTGCAAACAGCCGGAGTACGTATTGTTAAGATAACCGGCGTCAAACATAATGGAAAAACTGTATCTATTTTGATCCGTGGTGCTAATTCTCTTATATTGGAAGAAGCTGAACGATCTTTACATGACGCACTTTGTGTAGTTCGTTGTCTTGTTAAGAAAAAGTAATCAAAAAAAAATTTACAAAAATTCCATGAATGATGAAATTAAACAATGGATTATTAAAAAAAATTTTAATTATTATTATAATTTATCAAATTTATCATCACAATTAGAGCTCTAATTGCTGGTGGGGGTGCACCCGAAATTGAAGTTTCACAACGTTTATCTGAACATGCAAAATCTTTAAAAGGAATGGAAGCATATTGTTTTGAAGCCTTTGCAAATGCACTCGAAGTTATTCCGGTAACACTTGCCGAAAATGCAGGTTTGAATCCTATCAATATCGTCACAGACCTAAGAAACCGACATGCACGAGGTGAAAAAACGGCAGGAATTAACGTTCGAAAGGTATCCAAAATAAATAAATAAATAAATAAATAAATTAATTATTATTTTAATGAGTTAAATAATATTTAATTTATTTAATTGTAATTTCATTAAAAAATTATTATTAGGGTACAATTACAAATATCCTTGAGGAGAATGTTATACAACCCCTCTTAGTGTCATCGAGTGCCATAGAGTTGGCAGCCGAAACTGTGAAAATGTTATTAAAGATAGATGATTTGGTAAATCTATTAATTTTAATTAAAACGTATTCAAATTATCAATTATTTTTATTATAAATTTTATAAGTTGTTTGTATTAAAAAAAATTTTTTTTTTTTTGATTTTTAATATTTAAAGGTGTCAATTCGATAAAAAGTCAGATGTATAGATAAATGTGAGTGATATGAAAAAAATAATGTGATAAAAATAGAAATTATTATTATTACAAAGCATTCATTTGTGTAATTCCAGATGATAATAATAATAATAATAATAATAATAATAATAATAATAGTCATTATTTTTGTTGAATAATTGTTTCATGTATTTTTTATTATTTATTTTTATATATATTTGGTACATCAAGAATTATATTTGATAAATATTTTTTCCAATTTTAATCATTCATTCATTGAACATTAATCTTTTTATTTTTTTCAAAGTCTTTCGCCAGTGAATCAACTTTTTTAAATTGCCAACTCCAAGCGGTGTTATATAAAAATGGTCTAAGGTCAAATCTATTATCATCAGGACTATAGGTTTCTGCATGATAAGACGGAGTAAGGGTAGTCATTTTATGTCGATTTACAGAATAGTAAAAGAAGAATCGTTTTACTTTTGATGCGATCTTTTTATTTTATTTTAGAAGAATCAAATAGAATTAACTGGATTAAACGCGTAACATATGCGAAATGTATAGAATGCATTAAATTAAACACAATATGATTTACCTCAGTTGGTCGTAATTCCGCTCCCCATTCATGTATTAATTTTGAGAACATTGAAAATGGACCACATCGTTCGTTTTTACGTAGTCTTCCAAAAATTGATAATTCTTCATATGTCATACCCATGTCAACCTAAATAAGAATGTGGGAATCGAAATCAAATAAATCAAATAAATCAAATAATCAAATTCAATAAATGATTGTTGAAATCTTGGTTAAATGATTATAATGATAATCCAAAAGTAATTAAATTAACACCAACCTCATCGGATTGAACGTAATTGTTAGTAATTGGTTCAAGTTCTGCAGTTGGTGTCGCGTTGAGGAATCTAAAAGATTATTGAATTATGTTAACATTTTTTTGGGGGGAATTATTTAAAAAATATATAAAAATATTAAATTATTAAACTTACTCATCCAACACAGAAATATTAAATTCATTTTTTGTGTAAGCAATAAATTTACGCAAATCAAGTTTACTAATAGCACCAATGGGATTTATATCTGCACTTGAGCAGTCATATTTGGTAAGATAACCACGAAGGCTAAAGAATTCAAATAATTAAATAATTATTTATCAAGTAACCAAAAATAATCAAATTCGTTAGCAATTTTGTAATTTTGTAAATTGTTATCGCAAAGTCTAGAAAAAATTATTATTTATTCTTCACCATTCATCAACGTTAGAACTACCCAACACTAATAATGATCCATTCTTGTTTCTCACCCAAGGTAAAAGTTGCGCAAATAGATATGCCAACACCATTCTTAATCGTGCCTAGAAGTTGTTTGTCAATAAATTAACAAAAAATATATTTATATTTTTTTTTTTTTAAAAAAAAATAACGTAAAACTAATTTATTGCTTACCTGTATGTTCTGAAGTGCAAGATTTTCAACATCAGATCCACCATTAACCCGAAATCTTGGTGTCTTATTGGTGACAAAATTAAATAAGGTATGTATAGAAGTCACAACATTATCCATATTAAAATCGATATGATAACTATCGTAAGAAAAAGGGTATATTATATTTATGTACCTTGATAATTCGTCAGGTAAAAAATGAAATTATACTAACCTTCCTATAGAATTAGCCAAATGTTTAGCACGTTCACGGGTTTCTCTACTTGAATTTTGCGTTCCCATATAACAAGTATGAAAAATACGACTACAAAAAGTATTTATAATCAATTTTATAAATTTTATAGATGATTTCAGATTCTGAATAATAAATAAATAAATAATAATAATAATAATATATATGTGTGTGTGTCTATTTTTAAATACTTTGCAAACTCTTTTGGATCATTCGGAATATAATCTGAATCTTTCCCTTCACCGGTGATCCTTCTAGAATCTTCAATAACTTGAACATCTAATTGTAAAAAAAAAAGTAAATTAAAAATTTAGACTTTATTTAATACACATTTATCATCCACTCACTTATTATCAAAATAATTACCATTGTTCGTTGCAGCTTGGACAACTAAACGACACATTGAATAAACTATAACTGCTGAAGCACAACTATCTATCCCTCCACTCAGTGGCAGAAAATACCCGTTAGTCTTTGAACGACGAAGATAGTCCCAGAGCCAACATGCAGGTCCTAATCTAAGCAATGTTATTCATTATTAGTTAATGTACTTTAAAAATTGAATATTGAATATTTCACACTTACGAAATTTCTTGTTCTGGCGTGTGATACTTTTCTTTAATAGGCTTTGTAGGACGAAATCCTGGTGTCATACTGATTTCTAATGACGACAATGCAATTTGTGCTTCAATGCGAAGATATGGACGAATATTAACAGCTTGCATTTCTCTGCTACTTTGTCCACGGTGTGAACGTACATCTTCGATATCAACTGTTGCAGTGATCACTTCCTGAAATAAAATAAAATTTTAATTTAAGTAAATAAATAAAATTACTTTTGACATGATGAAGTGATTAATTATATTTTAATTATACTGACCACATCTTTTAAAGAAAATTGTGAACCTTGAGCTACAATCTGACCATTAACAGTAATCAAAGCACATCCATCATAATATAATCGATCTCCATCACAACCTTGTTGATTAGAATAAAGATATATTCCACCATTCTAAATAAATAAAACCACAGATTTACTATAAATTGGAATGATATCACTTTTTCACATTTCCGATATCTTTTAATATCTTTTAATATCTTTTAATATATTTGACATCCTCAATATCTTTCATATCTTTCATATCTTTCATATCTTCATATCTTCAATACCTTTAGTGTTGCTTCTTTAATCAAATCTATACGCCTGTGAAGTTTTCGTAATTCGTGATGACTGCCACTACTATTTGTAAAGATTTCTACACCATCCAATCCCATACTAATATGCGGACTAATAAACGAAAACAATCAATGAAAAACAAGTTAATAAAGTTAATATAAAACTTAAACGAAACACTTTATTATATCATAATTCACGCCAGTAAAAGTAAATAAAATAAAATAAAATAAAATAAAAATGTATAATTAAATTTAAAGCTATTAAATCGTCACGCAATTTAATTCCATTTTCTCACTAACATTTTAAAATTAAATTAATAAATCAATGTTTACCTGTTTGGAGTAAACAGTTCTTCACATAATTCCACACCAACGCACGTATCAATAGTAGCAATTACTGCATCACCGATAGGAACAGTGGTCTTTTATATAAATATATTAATTGGAATTTTGTGAGAAAGAAAGGAAAGAAAGGGAGGGAAAAAGAGAGTGAATTAATTAATTGATTAATTAAAAATTATAAAATTTACCTGGCCTGTAATATCTCTAATAATTCTGGGTAAATAATATTCTTCAACATGTTGACTTGGTGACCATGGAGTAAAATATCTCAACTCACGATAATTACCATCATTAGCCAAGAACATTTTTGGTCGAATCAATAAAACTTTTCCATCGAGAATAATAATTCGACAATTGTATTTAACATTTTTATGAGCTATGGGCCTTTTATTAATAGATATTTAAAAGTTATAATTTGAAATATATTCATAAATTATTTGCTTTCTTGGATCTAAAAATGCAATGGCTTACATTCCGATATCAAGCAAAATACCTCGAGTTTCTTCTGATTGTAATATTTTCCCCAAAACTTCCCAAGAATGAAGATATGTGTCTCCTAAAAGAATTCAATTATATTATCAGTAATTTTTTTTTTTTTGTTGTAAAAAATTGTTTATATAATAAAAATAAAATATGAAACCTTCAAGAAAGTGATCGAAACAACCATATCCTCTATCAAAACAAAGAAAAAGGTTATGTAGTAAAAAAAAATAATTTTCTTAGGTTTAACAAACTTCATATTATGTAGAGTACGTTATTTCAAGTTCTGGACCAACACGTAAGGTCGCTCCTTTCTGCTTTGCAATATTAATACTCTCTAAAATACGTTTCAGATTTCCTTCAAAATCCAAAGCCCATTGATTAAGAGAACAAGTCGCCAAAATCATTAAATGTCCCATTTTGTTAACATTTGTAATATTCAAATAAGAACCATTTTTTTATTGTAAACATACGAATCACATGATCGTACTATAAATTTTCAATAGTAACAATAGTAAAGATTTATTATATTCAAGGAATTCAAGGAGAAAATATATATAAATAAATAGATGAAAATGAAGAAAAATGAAATGAATAAGGATCAGAGATTAAAGAAATTGCAAATGATGACACTAATATTCTTAATTTAAAGGAAAATTGGTCAGTCACACAAGAAAAGTTCAAAAGAAATGTCTTTTTTGTTTAATAGTACAATTTCCAATTGGAGAAAGATATTACAACGGAATTCACCAGTTCTTTTTTAACAATCAAACTTTTCTTGGTATTGTCTATATATTTTTTTTTTGTTAACTATAGAGTACAATCAAATTCGAATGGTGTATATAAAATATATATATATATATAAAAATAATGATAAAAGAAACTTCAAATCTAAAAACTAATTTCCAAAAAAAAAAAAACTAATTGCGGTTATAAATTGAAATCAATACCTATTACGATGTAATAGGTTGGAAAGGAGGAGGAGGTACATCAAAAAGACCTGATCGCCTATTCTCTGAATATTCCGGATTTGTGTCGTTATCTTGCACCCCAAATGGGATAGCAGACACATGTAACCGAGAAGGACGGAAGGCAAAATTCTGAGCTGGATCTGGTCCTCTTGGCTGTCGAATTGGGAACACGATTGGTGTCCCATCATTTCTATTTATTCAAAAAATATATGTTTATATTTAATTTTGTTATTTCTTAATATATTAATAAAATGTTCATAAAATATTCATAAAAATATTCATACTTACAGCCATGATTTTCTAAAAGATCGTGATAGAGGAGAAACATCACCTCTCATAGATCTATTTGAGGGACTTTCCGACAAACCTGCACTTGCTAATAACTGTTGAGCCGCACGCCTTCCGAATGAACCATTCCGAGATGGTGTTTGCTATAGTTTTTAGCAGTTAAAACTATTAAAATCAAATCACAAGAATAAATTGAATAAATTGAATAAATTGCATATGTAATTCGAGGGGACGAACCTTTATGTTAATAGCTGCGGAAGCTGGTTTTCGAACAATTTTTAGAATTCTATCTTCACCATCGCCCTCATTATAGTGATACAAGCTAAGTTTTTGAGCAATAAGATGTAGTGTACGGCGATGAGTGGGTGTGAGAGTTTTGGAAAATACTAATTCGTCACGGGATTTATCGTCACGGAAAATAATAACCTGATCATAGAATTTAAGTGTTTCTGGATCATTAAGATCAAGCTGATCTACTGAATTACATATAAATAAAAAAAAAAATAAAAAAAAAATAAATAAATAAATAAATAAATACATACAAATACCAGAAATGAGATTTAAAGTGCTTACAAAATTATAAAAATTAGATTAAAAATTGGATTAAAAAAATTAGATTATAATAAATGAAGGTTAATTACCAGGACTCTTTTTTTCGGATTCTTTTTTATCTTTTTCGTGCTTTCCATTTTCGGTATTAATTGATTTTGGCTTTTCGGTTAGTTCAATTTCAGTTTTTTCTTGTATACGCGCATCTTGATTTGAATGCTCTTTATCAGCCTTTTGTTTTTCCATCTTTTCTCTCTCCTTTGCTTCCCTTTCTGCAGCTGGTAAAACTCGTTTATATTCGACTCTAAGTTTTCTACCAGATACCTCATATCCGTTTAATGCCGATACTACAAGATCAGTTTCTTCTGGTGTTCGATAATTGGCAAATGCTAAACCTCTAAAAACACCATTATCGAAATGATAATTAAACGCGTAAGGTTTGGGTATGTCGAGATTATTCTAATTTGATTATTTTATTTGTAAATATAATAAATATAATAATAAATATAATAAATATAATAATAAATATAATAAATATAATAATAAATATAATAAATATAATAATAAATATAATAAAT